GTGCAGATCCAGGCATGGGGGGTTTCTTTGGGGAGGACTGAGGGGGCAGCGCTTGGCTGGGGGCTCCATCCTCTCTCACCCAGGGATGTTGCTCAGGTGACCTGTGCCAGCTGCCCGCTTCATGGGCACAGGGCTGAGGAAGTCTTGATTCAGGGGAAGAATTTGAAAGACCCTCCTATAAACTCAGGAGGATAATTATAATAAACGTGGCTCGATGTCCAGCGCCTCGTGGTCCTTGTGCCTTCATGCATTCAGCCTGGGAAGCCGCGGGGGTCATGCAGCCGCCGACAGTGGCCTCTAGGTCAGCCCACGGGTGATGGGGGGTCACTGGGCTTCGGGTGGGAGGAGTCCATGTCCCCCTTTATTTTCCCAGACACAAACAGTCTAGGTTGAGTCCCTGAGCCCCTCCCATTTCCACCCCATAATAAGCCTGAATCTGTTTTAAGTTAAACAGATTAACTTAAATGGGGCTAAATGAGGATACCAGACCCCCTGGTGGGAGTCACAGCGAGGAACCTCTGAGGGTCTACGGGGCCCACAGGACTCTCGTGGAGCCTGGGTGAGGTCCAGGGAGCGCCGTAGTGTCCTGCTGGGTGGCCTAGGTCTGAGCCAGAGGAGGACTCTCTGCAGGGCCAGGCCCCAGTGGCTCACATTGTGGGCTTGGCCTCTGAGGGCTGGGCATTCCTTCCAGGCAGGAGAAGCATCCCCAGGAGGCCTGGGGTGAGCCCTGGGACAGTGGGCTGCTCTTCAGTGGTGGGAGGAGAGGCGTTCTGGGGCCGCTGGACTCCACCTGCCCACTGGGGGGTGACACCTTGAGGAGCCAGCTGCCAGCTCTAGGGGATTCAGGAGCAGGAGACTTATCTATCTACCTTACGAAGACAATGGATTCTAAGCCAATTATTTCTCCAACTACAATATCATTTTACCTAAATTTTAATAATGTTTTAGAATTACCAGTTTCACTTTAATACTACAGGTCATCCGTGTGACCATATCTTGGACGGGTGAGACGGTCCCTTAGGGTCTGGCATTGCTCTTCCACGACTCCCCGTGGGCCACGGAGCGGGAGTAGCTCCTGAGCCTGGCATCGAAGGCCCCGAGACCAGGCCCTGCCTCCCTCCCAGGCCACACCCAACTCAATTTTGCTACCCTCACTTCACCCAAGAAGTGTGTGGGCGCTCGATGCTTGAGCCATGTGGCTGGCGATGCCCCCCTCAGCCATCTTCACCTCCTCCCCACGGTGCCGGGGTCGCCTCCAGGAAGCCTCCCGAGTACCCCTCCTCCCGCCCCACAGCTCATCGTCCGTGATTGTTGGGGTCTTGGCCTGTCCCCACCAAGATCTTGAAGGGGAGAGTTGGCTGGGGTCATTCCTGGAGGTGGGCTCAGGATCCTACCGAGGGGCCAGGCACTCATGCAGGTATGTGGGCGCCTGTCTGTCCCTGCAGAGCTGAGGACCCAGAAGGGACAGCCCTGGCCTGTCTCTACCCAGAGAGTGCCAGGAAGAGATCCTTGGCCCCTGACCCAGAGAGGCAGCCAGAGCAGGCAGCCGCAAGCCCATCTGTACGACTGCAGGCGGCCAAGAGTGTGCAGGCCTTCCCAGAGGACCGTGACCTGGAAATAGGATCCAGGAGGCAGCCTTGGCCCCGGACCCTCCTCGCCTCCTGCCAGGCAGGGCCCCGTCCAAGACCGGGAGGGAGAACTCTCGATGCTCCTGGCAGCCGCCTCTGAGGAACTGGGCAGCACGGGGGCAGGGGAGGAGGCTGCCTTTCTCCCTTCCAAGTTCTGGCTGGGAGGCGCCCAGCATCCTCACCCAGCCCGCCAGAGGCCCCCACCCAACATTATGCTATATTCCTGCACCTCATCTGGGCTGG